TCCTTTCGTTTTTCACGCTTTTCCCTTCGCACCAATCCCAGTTTCCAGTAGTTTTACGGCGAAAAGTAGACGATACTCCCCCCTTCTCCCCCCTTCTTGCCTCCAGAGATGAATTCTTTCTTCCCAGTCCAGTTTCGAGAAAATTTTTATCCGCCGATCGATGGACCCCGACCTGAATTTTCCACCTGAAAGTGGCGAGAGCAAGCTGATTTTCGAGCGGCAACGAGCTTAGTTTTTCCGTCTCGCGTTTAAATCTCGTCCGTGTTTGCCAAGGGAAACACGTTTATCGCTCTCGTGGCCGATTCCATTAGGGAGGACGATAACGAAGTTTGCTCGATTCGTTAACGTTTCTCCGATCGAGAGATTGATAAGTTTCTCGACGAGTGATCGAGACTCGTATCTTGGACGACGATTCGTTGATGATTAATGATTCTTTTGGTTCTTGGGTTGATCGATAAATTTGATACGATTAAGATGCAATTGTTTTTTATCTTTTTTTTGTCAATTACTTCGATATTCCAAGTTTTGAATGTCTCATGAAGATAGACGATAGTTTTCTGCGCGAAAAAAATCGTGTTTTTAAAATCAAGTTTTGGCTACTGTTATAAGAAAAAATGAAAGGAGTAATATACGTATGAAAGATATATAAATAGGAGGGGATAAAACCGTTGATCGATTATTGCGTAAACCTGATCTAAACTGGTGCACGTGTGCGAGGACAAGGAGGATTTGTCAGCTGGTCGTGTTTTGCAATGTTACGTCCGATGCATCCACCACCAAAGTGTAAAATACTGCATTGTGTTCTATGTTCCACGTCTATGTTCCATATTGCGTCCAACATTTAGCTCCATGGAGACTCTAATATTACCCAACAAGGTTTGTCAAATAGATTGTACGTGACCAATTATTTTCGTCTCTCTCTCTCTCTCTCTCTTTTTAATTTTATTAAAGCAAAAATACGAACGAGTTGATAATAAAACGTATTGTATTCAAATTTAAATTAGAATTTGTAAAACTTTTAATCAAATGATAAGTAACTGTCGCAAGTTTATCACATGTGAAATTATGTAAGAAACAATAGATATGAATTACGAGATTAATGGCCTGGTTTCCTTTAATTAAGTTTCTTTAGTACAAGCTGCTTTGCATACCTGTCTCCTCGAGAAAGCTAGTCCTGTAAAAACGACAGGATCTTAAATCTAAATCCGTTCAAATTTAAATTTGTTAAATAAATACGTATAATTAAATGGAAAATAAAGCTTGACAAATACGAGAATTTAAAAATTTATTTAAATTTTCATCATTAATTACGAGAAGTTTTGAAATAAATTCGATCAAAAATACAAAAAAAAAAAAAAGAGTACTTCTCTTTTGTATTTGCAATTGACATCGATTCTTTTCATTGAAGAAAATCGATTTCTATCCAACCTCAAGAAGTCGATCGAATAAGAAACGTAACTAACGTAAGGGAATTTACCATTTCTAAAGGATTTCTTTAGGAAAGAACAAGGAGAAACAGAAGAAACCGAGAAAAATCACGCAGCAGATCTTAAGTAGACGTTTTCTTGGATTTCCAATTCTTTTATCCTACAAAAAGATCCCTGAAGCTATAATAATAAAAGATTAGAAACGTCGAAACGTCTATTTTCAAATTTTCCCACGGAAATAACAAGCTCGTTAAATACACATTTCCAATTCAAATCGAAGAAGAAAGATTGTCGAACGTTTGCACAACTTGTCACCATAATTTCAACTTGTCGGGAAAAAAATTCCTCTAATCACGACAATCGTTTATTCGTCAAAGATCAATCTTCCTCTCGTTCTATCCCACTCGACGAGTTAAAACACTTCTCGACTTTCGTCGCTTTCGAGTTCTCTAATCCGCAATCCATCTGGATAATCGATAGGAACCTGATATCGATTATAACGAATGAAAGAAGCAAAGAAAGCGTGAGAATGATAAATTGAGAGTCGAAAACCACTCGAAGAAAAACTCCAAGATGACGGTATATTGAATTGTTTTCGAGTTTGCTGACCAAGAAAGAGTCACGAGCAACTTTCATCATCTTGTGCCTTTGACAAATTTCACAGAAATCTCGTCGAACACGCGATTCGATAATACTTGTTATTAAAACGCCTCAATAATGGGGAAGGCTTCTTGTTTCTGAATAAATTTCAATAAATTCAAAAAGGCATTTTACGTAATATGCTCGTTATATTGTTCATTATATTATAATGAAGAAAACACGCGAAAAGACGGAGAGATTTACGAAAGATTTTTAAGGCGAAGCGTGAGCGATTCGAATTATTCTTTCGGCGAATTCTTGCGACACGAAAGCGTTAAACGCAATTAAGATTTAGTTGTTCGTCCGGAGAAAATGAAATCACGAGAGCTGGCGTTTCCCCGGTGACTTGATTGCAACTTCAGCACCGTGCTGTTATACAACAATCATCGTGACATCCGAGTAAATTAATTTAAAATCCTTTCCTGCCAGTTCTTAGATTAATTATTTTTATTCGAATTAACCTTACTTTCTATTCTTTCCTCGCATTGAATATTTATCCTATTGTATGATTTTTAAGATAAATTTGAACAAATTTGGAATAATAATTCAATTTAATTCAATTTATTCAGAATTAGAGAAAATTTAAAATGAATATTATGATTAAATTGTAGGAATACGTAATTTCAAAGATATGTAATTTCAAATCACTATTAGAACGCAATTTGAATACAATAGTTTTTCATTCAAAGTTATAGCTACGAACGATAAAATGAAACGCATAAATAATTGAAAATTCTAAATTTATAAATTAATATAATCCTGGTTTTATCACACTCAATTTTATCCAAAGATTGAAAAATTTGGCGATTATGAAAAAGGACAAGCTTATACAACGAGAAAGTTAAAAATCAACACGATCTTTGCTACCAAACACACTCGAGCCACCTTACCAGTCTAAATACTCGATATAGTTATTTCAACCGGTTCCCTAAACTTGTGTTCGCAAGTTGTTGGGCGTATAGCACGGCTACACGTTTAGTTCCAAGTTGTAACCTTGTTACGTACTTAGCGTTGCCAACGTGACGCGTAATTCCATGGGCATTGGCCAGGAAATCGCTGCATCCACAACGATACGTTGCAACGATCTCCTTCGAATCATTAATTATCGATGCGTTATCCTCATCGATACAACGATAAACCGTCTCTGGGAAGGGTTCGATTAGAATCGAGAACGCGCACCAAGCATCGTGTAATTGCTTCACTGCGAAACGATGCAAAAACTCTAATCGAATCTGACGTAATCTAGATCTTCTAGCTTTCAATTTAATCATTTTCGAAGCAGCTGAGCCTGAACTGCGAATTAGAACAGGGGACTGACAACCTTCTTTTCTATGCAATGGGCAATGAGATTGCAAGCTGAATTAAGAATGCGCGCAAACATGGCCGTGCTCATCCGCGTAATCTATTCGCTGGAATTTCGCACGAGACGCATGGAAAATTCTGAAAATGAAATTGCTTGAAAAAAAGATATACTCTTTCTCTCTCTCTCGAAAATTTAGATACGATGTTACATCTCTAGAAAAATGAGTTAATTAAATCTTCAATCTCTATCTACTATGTTGTGTTTATTACAAAAATTGAAATTCGTCGATTTGCTTTTAAATTTACTTTAATTCGATTACTTTAATTTACTTTAGGCGGAAAGGCGTTAATTTCAGGTGTTTCGCGTAATATTCTAATCTCGTTAAATACTTAGCGAAGCTGATATGACGTGTAATCTTGTATCCATTGTCCACGTCACCGATGGGACTCTGGAGGCGAGGGTGTTTGGGGTTATCAGCACTAACAGGCGAAGCGCGGCATAAGGACAACCTATGCACCCGACACAGTTGCAGATGCACCGACTAATCTCCCCCTGTGCGAAACCATTATACCGCGTGGACCGAATAGGACAATCTGCTTCGCGAACAAACTTGCACGGTTACACGCTCGCAGGCTGCGAATCGAGATGATGATGAGAAATAAAAATTAACGCAGGGACAGCGTTACTTTGACATCCGTGCTTCTCTCCAGTAAATAATCCAGTAAATAATCTTTGATTATCTATATTAATGATCGTTTTTTAAAAATATGAAAAGTGCTTGCTGAAAAATATTATTCTACGAAACAAAAGTTAATGAAAAAAAGATGGAAAGAAAGTGTGTTGAAATCATTGGAGAGCATCGTTGTTCTTTAAATGGATTGTTTATCCTTGGAAAGATTAAAAGATATTATTTGTTCTCGCCGTACGTACGTACGTCCAGACTGACGATAACAAAAGGTTTCTAAAAAGGATCAATACCAAGAGAATCGTACACTCAAAGAATACGATGAAAACCTCCCCCTGTGTTCACAAGAATCCTCGATTCCTTGGATTGAAGTAAAAACA